CCCGAAGCTGTTGAAAGGCATCTTTTTGCTCTTCCTCCCAAACAAGCTCTTTTGTTTTCGGGAGTTTCAGGGCTTTGAAGAAGGGTAACCCCTTATCCGAAGCTCTGGAAATGAACCTCGAGAGGGCTGCCATTCTTCCGGTGAGCCGCTGAACATCCCGCTTCGTTTTCGGCTCAGGAAGGTCGAGCGCCGCTTTGACTTTAGAGGGATTGGCATCAATCCCCCTTTTGCTGACCATGAAACCCAGGAATTTCCCTGACTTCACGCCGAAGACACACTTCTTCGGATTCAGCTTCATTTGATGCTTTCTCAAGGTGGCGAAAGTTTCAGCCAGGTCCTTTACATGGTCCTCTAGTTTTCTGCTTTTGACGATCGAATCGTCAACATAGACTTCCATGTTTCGGCCCTTTTGATCGGCGAAAACTTGATCCACCAGCCTTTGATAGGTTGCCCCCGCATTTTTCAATCCGAAGGGCATCATTTTGTAATTATACACCCCAGCGTTCGTGACGAATGCTGTCTTGGCTCGATCGTCGGGGTGCATAAAGATCTGATGATACCCCGAGAATGCGTCCATGAAACTAAGCAAGGCATGGCCACTTGTCGAATCGACTAGCTGATCGATTCTCGGCAAGGGATAGAAATCCTTTGGACAAGCCTTATTTAGGTCCGTGAAGTCAACGCACATCCTCCAGGTACCATTGGGCTTCTGAACCATCACCACATTTGCCAGCCATTCCGGATATTGGCAAGGTTCAATGAACCCTGCCTCCAATAATTTTTTGACTTCGGCTGCGATGTCTCGGTTCTTATTGGCGGAGTAATTCCGCTTCTTTTGCTTAACTGGTCGACACGTTGGGTCAACATTAAGCTTATGGGAGATGAGGTCTGAACTTATCCCGGGCATATCAGCTGCCGAGAAAGCAAACACATCTCTGTTATCCCGAAGGAGCTGAATAAGTTCACAACGGGTGTTAGGATCAAGGTCCATCCCGATTGTTACACATTTCTCAGCATCTCCTTCGGCCAACTCAACTGTTTCAGTCTGTTGGTCCATGTCCATTGCCGATGGACTGGACTCTTCAGAATCTGGTCTGCTGCCAATGTCAGCAGGTGTCCCAGTCTTTGTGTTCTTCGGCTGGCTCTCTGAGTCTTGCGGCTCAGCTGAAGAGTCAACCTTTTCCCTTTCGGGACCTTTTTCTCTGGGCACAGATCCTTGGGCCGAAGCACTTAGGCCTTTCGGCTTTTTTGTGCTTGGCTCTCTTTCTTTTTCTTTCTCCTCCTCATCCTTGTCGTCATCTGGGCGACTACTGGATGGCTTGAGGTAGTTGCACCTTCGGGCGTCCTTTTGGTTGCCCTGTATCCTTTCGGGGAAGCCGGCGTCTGAGACGTAAATCATCAGCTGATGATAAGTTGAGACGACCCCTTGGATCTCGTGAATTATGGGTCTCCCCAAAATCACGTTGTACACTGAAGGAGCGTCGATGACCAAAAACTCAATCATGACGTTCCGGGCTGCCTCATCGCAACCGATGGTGACAGGAAGTGTCACCTTCCCATCTGGATAAGTTGAAGCCCCATTGAACCCGGATACCGGATAGGGTACCGGCGTAAGGTGCTTGGGCTTCAGCTTAATTTGATTGTAGGCCTTTCGGAACAGAATGTTTGCTCCGCTGCCACCGTCAACAAGGACCTTACTAACGTCGTGGTTGGCCACCGTGGCGATGATCACCAACGGATCCTCGTGAGGGAACGTAATCCCCCGGCAGTCGGCGGCTGTGAACGTCATGTTCGGCACCGGCGACTGGGGAGATTGAATGTCAGCGTTGTTCACCTGGTGAGTCAAAGCTCTAAGGTGACGCTTGTGCTCCCTCCGAGAGTATACTCCTCCCGAGATAACATTGATCGGAGGGAATTTCCCCTCCGGTTTTTTACTGTTTTTCCGGGGGAAATCAAGGTCCTGCCGAGGGTCCTTTGCTGGCCTCTCGGATTCTTTTTTCTCGCGGTGATCCGCGATGTATTTTTTCAAGTATCCCTTCCGGACCATGTCCTCTATCTGGTCCTTCAGCTGGATACACTCCTCAGTGTTGTGGCCCGAAGACTCGTGGAACTCACACCACTGATTTTTATTTTTTCGCTGATACCACTCTGGGAGTGGTCTCGGCTTTCGGTAACTCTGCTCCTCCTTCGTCACACTGTAAATTTTGGCGCGTGGAAAAGAGAGCGGAGTGTAGGACTCGTATCTGCCTGTGTATGAGGCAAACCTGTCCTTCTTTAGGTCATTGGCCAAAGATGGCTCCGGAGCCTTTGATTTTCCCTTTGCCTTATGGCCTTGGCCTTCAGACAAGGGTATTTGCCTCTGTTTCCCTCCCCCGGATTGAGGTTGGGTTTTTGCTTTATTCCATTCTTCGGCTCGGATGAACTTATCCGAAGCACTAAGAGCTTCCTCCAAGGTCTGCGGGGTATGCATGACCATGAAGTCTAGGAATTTTCCTGGCTGAAGGCCATTCTGCATTGCAAAAACAGCTAACCCCTGGTCCAGCTGGGAGACGCTTGATGACTCGTTACTGAAACGGGTCAGGTAGTCTCGGAGGCTTTCGGTTTCCCCCTGTTGCAGACTCATGAGCTCTGCGGTAGTCTTCTCTCGGCGGTTTGCCGTGGAAAACTTGCTCCTGAACTTGGAGGACAGATCATCCCAACCTGTTATGGAGCCTTGCCTTACTCCCTTGGAGATCCACGCTTGCGCGACCCCCTTGAGAGTGGTTGGGAAATATTTGCACCAAGTCGCCTCGGATCTGGGGCAAAGATGCATATGAGTCTCATACGAGGCCACGTGGTCCTTCGGATCCGTGGTCCCGTCATATGTGATATGCGACGGTATTTTAACCGTGGGTACGCGCTCTTCCAGTATCCATTGCTCGAATGGTGAACTAGCGGGTAGCATAACGGCCTTGCCCTTGTTCCTGGCCGAAGGGACCGCGCTCCGCCCTCTTAGAGAGGTAGGAGTGGTTTTCGTCCCTGGCTGGGAAGTCTGGGCCTCGGCTGCAGGGAACGAGAGGCGACTACGCACGCTCGGTTCCTGGCCACCGAGTCGGTCAAGGACGCTTCTGCGAACAGTCTCAGGTTCTCGGCGAGTAGATTCTGGCCGAGAAGCTGAGCTGCTGCTCTTATGCGCCTCTGGTCTTGAGGATGAGGATCCTTTAAATACTTGAGGGTTCTTTTTCCTCTGTTTTTCATTTTTCCAAGAATCCTCCTCCCACTCTTCCAGTTCCCGGAAGGAAGGAAGCTTCCCACCGTCATGGTCTAACTTCCTCCGCTGATGCCGGGTATGCGGAGGAGTTCGATCACGAGGCGGTGGCATATTCTGTGCCCTCATTGCCTCCATGAGTACTGCCAGCGCTCTTGCCACCTCTTCCGAACTGGGCCCCGTCAAAGGGGTCCTCGGCCGAGTGTGGGAATGAGGCCGCGCAGCCGATGGTTGGCTTTGGGACACTGAATATGTCCTATGATCAGACTGACCCCTGCTAGACCGAGAGTGGTCCGGCCTATATTGAGAGTCATGCATTACGGGAGATAGGGAATCCTCCTTGCATGATCTCCCCCCCGAGCCGGCACCCTTGGGAGAGTTCCGGTCCGGCGAGGGCGATGGTGTAGGGGTTTTAGGCTTTTCGCCCGCTCCTTGACGGAGGCTTTTGCTCTTGCGGTTCTTAGCCATGGCTGCTAAGATAATTGCAAGATGATCTTGGTTAGGAATTTGGCTTAAAGATTTTTGAAAGTCTTCCCCACAGACGGCGCCAAATTGTTTCGGTTGAAAACAATGGGACCTTGCCGAAGGTCCGCTGAAATGGAGAAGACTGGATTCGGTCCAAGTTGTGTTGGGCCGAAGGTTTCCTGCGCAGTGAACACACGTAAACTAGCCTCGGGGGTGTTTCCGAGGAAGGCCCCTCCGATGCTAAAGTCAGTACAATGTGTAAAAGGAAGACACTATGCAAGAGAGTTTGTAGCTTGAGGCTTTTGTGGAATATTTCTGAATGCAAGAATGAGCATATGAATCTGAACGTGAATGTATGAATGTGTCAATATGATGGCTTTTATACCTCATCATACATGGTGAGATTGGGCCCTAGCCCAATTGGCATGCTTTGTGGGCTGACCTTTGACTTTTGTGCAATTGGAGAGTTGAACCTTGACCTTGGGCTTTTAACTGGATCATTTAGTGCTTAGGCCCAATTTTGACTAAATTGGACCCAAACAAGTGTTAATCGTGTATTTAATTGTTAGTATATACTCAATTTAGGGTTATTCGAAGTTGGATAATTGAACTATTGGTTATAGAAAGTCGAAGAATTTAACGTAATTTTTGGAGTCTAGTTTGATAATTGAGTCAATTTTGGTTGCTAATTTGTGAATTGTAGTTTATTTATTTTATTTTATAGGAAAAACACAAATTCACAAATTCTGGGGGTGGGAGAATGGTTTCAGGGGTAGTGGTTTCGAGTCTACGGCGGTTTTGGGTCAGGGAAAGGGGTGGGTGTTTTGGGTGGGGAAAGGGATGGGAGTTAGGGTGGTTTTGGGTTGGGGAATTCAAGTTTTGGGCAGTTTCGTTGGTGGGGCTAGGGCGGGGGGTCTATTGCGCTCATGTGGCTCTAGAAGGAGGGTGGTTTCGGTGGTGGTGCAGGGGGAGGGGGTGGCTGTCGGGGCTGGGTTGGGGAGTGGCTGTCGGGCTGGGTGGGGAATTGTTTAATTAATTTTTTTGATTTTAATTAGATAATTGAATTTATTTTAGATTTTGGGGTTTCATTGTTGTATTATCGAAGTTAATATGTTAGATTTTGGGTCAAATACCTAGCGACAAACTCCTATGTTCCTTCACTAAAACACAATCAAGAGATAGAGTGCAATGTGTGCTTAGAACGTGTGCTCGCTAAGACAGCAGCCTCTGAGCGAAAGTTTGGTTTGCTATCAGAATGTGACCACCCATTTTGTATAACTTGCATCAGGTTTTGGCGAAACAGCTCACCAACCTCTGGAATGGATGTTAATTCCACATTGAGGGCTTGTCCTATATGTCGCAAGCTTTCGTATTTTGTCATTCCAAGTGTGCTTTGGTATTTTTCGAAAGAGGAGAAAGATGAAACTGTTGACAGTTTCATGGCCAAGCTCAAGTGAGTATTTTCTTCTCATTTCTCGTTAATTCTTGTTTGTGTTTGTTCAAAATATGATGACATCTAGAGTTAGAGCCAGTAGAGGTGAGTTTCTCTGGTAAATTTTGGCCTTTGCATCCAAATAGGATATACTTCATGCTGTGTCTGGTTGTTGCAATTCTTATTTCTTTTTCTGAGCTTTGAGTTTTGGGGGGTTCTTGTCTTGGTCCAATTTTTTTAAAGGTCATTTTATGAATGATCAAAACATAATGAGTTATAACTAGATTGGTATAATGATACAAAAATGCTTAGAAATTTATGGGTTTGTATCCTTGCAAATGAGAAATATGGAAATGGAAGGAAAACTGAGAGGATATCTGGTCATTGTCTAATCTGACCGGACTCACAAGAGATTACAACTGTTTTCTTCCAATATATTTTCTGATAGTAGAAAATTTAATGTGTTCTGAATCTTCTGAATTTTGAATTTCCTTTGCGCTTTGTTTATTGTATTATGGAGTGTTGAGATCAGGCCTTATTTCAATTTATGATTGAACTAAGTAGTCATGAAGTTAAAACAAGATAAATGGCAAGATAGTATGTGAGGGAAAACCCCTCAATGTGAGGTTCAAGATATTCCTACCAGCAAAGGAGACTTTTGTTGATATACATGTACCCCTTCTGTTTTGCATAGTCTTCATATAGCAAAGAAAACAATTGGAAGTACTGACTGGTTTGTGGAAGAGTTGTATTTTGTGTAATAATTCTCGTCTAATGATTTCTTTTTAAATCCTGTAGGTGAATAGTGGTGTTTACCTATATGAAGATTCTATATGGATTATGGTGTTTTCAGTTTTCACAATTGTTAATAGAAGACTTTTAGCCAGATTGTTGCTGATATTTTTTACGGTAACCTTTGATAGGAATTCAATAGGAGTGTGTCTGAGGGTTTCTAAGTGACCCTACTTTGGCATCAAGGGTTCATCCGTGACGATGGCAAGTGAAACCCTTTCCCATTTCTCAATATTGTCCCCCCTCCCCTTTAAGAGGCTTTTTTTTTTTTCATGTATTATTATTTTATGTTCTTGAATTTTTTGTTTTTTTTTTTTTATTTATTTCTTTTATCTTTGTTTTACATGTGTTACTATATGACTTAGAGCTAGTTTGCTCTGACTTTTCTTCTCGAGACTTGCAAACCTCAAAAAATTACAATAGCTGATTTTGATTCTTATAGGTTTTCAGGATTGCTTGTTTCCTTCTAATATGCATTTTTTTATTTTATTTTGGGATTACTCTTGCATCATTGATGTTTCTGGTTACTTAAAGTATGTGTAATATTAGGGTTTTTATAGGAAGTCACCTACTACAATTTGACTCTCCTCTTTTATCAAGCACCCTTCTCCAGTTTCAATGGGAAAATACTGTAAACATGGAAGGAATTATTAGTTACATTATGGGTCTTCTGTTTGAACTCTTTGAATCTCTTACTATGAGCATCTTTCTTTGGCTTAATATTTCCCTCATTAATAGCTTGCTTTTACGGGAGCTTTTTAACTTTATTTTAAATCAAATATGCACTTTTAATTTCTGTGCAATTTAGTGTTCTTGGACTTGGTATTATACTTTTTGTTGCCTCACATTACGCATCATGTCTTTTGTTGACAGGTCAGACTATGTTGAAACAGTGAAAACAGCTCGTTGGGGGTATAGTACTCGTCCTGGGGCAATGTCAGTTCAAAACAAAAATCCACTGCAGGTTGGCTTGCTGCTTTTCCTGTTTTTGAACCTCATTGGCAAGTATGCATGGTAGGGGGACTGTCAACAGGTACTTCTATGTTCTCAATAGATCTCTGGCTTAATGAGTGTTTCATTGTTACTTGTGTGGTTGAAAGGCATGAAATGTTGCCTATATTAAATGTGTTAGTAAGGGTTTCTTTGATAGGCTTGAGATGTATTATGGTGAGAAATTGTATTACTCCGTATATTTTTTTCTTCCTTTTGTTACTATGTTGCTACCGTCATACTAGTTTTGATTCTCTTTTTGTACTCTTTAATGAATCAAGATTATTCTACGTACTGTGCTCATTAGAGTTTCATTGCAAAAGCATGAAACAAATTTCAATATGATGTTATTAAGAGTATTAATGAGAAAACATGAGATGCTATACACACTATACTATCAGTAGTCTTATTATGTCTCAATTGTACATTTGAAGTTGAAACATATTCTCATGCTTTCAAAACTTGTCTGTTTGCTGTGAGCATGGCAGTTCTTTACCTTATGCACTTAAACATAATAATTAGAGCTGAAGTATCTTGCTGGAGCTATTTCACCATCTCTTGAAATTTAGTGTTAACAAATGAACACTGGAATAAACTAGTAATTAAGGCATTATTAAGTGGGAGATAAAAACAGTGCACCATTTTAGAAGGTTAAGTAGCTAGATGGAATAGATGAAAATGATGGATACACATTAACACTAAATAAAAAACTTCATTTAATGAACGTAAGATCGCAAAAAATAATAATTCCGTCTTTGTTCCTTGGAAAAACATATCTTTTGAGGAAACTGCACCAGATCGGGCTCTCAAAAGCTCATGTGACCGGAGGTGAATAATTTATTGTTTCGACAGGGGGTGAAGTGGGGGGTGTTGTTAAGATATATTGTGGTAATTTTGTTCTGTGGATTATGTTGCAAAATTTAACTTCATAAATTAAGAATTTGCTAATACCTCAAGAGTCTTTTACAGGTGGGAGTGCACCATGCTGGAATTTTCTATGAATTTGTACCATGGAATAGGTTTGTTGAGTGGGAGATTGCATTATGTGGCTATTGGAAGATTTCGGCTGATAATGGATCATACCTAGTAGGCTGTAACTCGTAACAGTAGGCAGCACCTACAACAAGTAGCAAAATGCACCAGCCAGAACTGCAAAACAGGCAGCATATAGCTATCGGAACCATTTTTTTTTTTTAGTTTTTTAAAGTGTAATATTACAAGTTATTGAAGAAAATATATGTGTTTTATGGATATTATGAATATTATGAATATATATAAGTATTTGGTACAATTTCAGTTAAAAAAAATGCAATTTTTTTTTATTTTTATTTTTTTGGGCACTTTTAGCACCGGTTTTGGAAAAGAACCGGTGCTAAAAGTTTTATAAAAATTTTTTTAGCTACTTTTTGCACCGGTTCAAATCAAGAACCGATGCTAAAAGTGTGGTTTTTCGCACCGGTTCTCAACCAGAACCGGTGCAAAAAGTCCTCCAGCTATTTGCTAAATCGCATGTTTTTGCCACCAGTTTACTCCAAAACCGGTGCGAAAAGTTATTTTTGCCACTGGTTGAACCGGTGGGAAATCTTTGGGGATTTAGCATCCCCCAAATCAAGATCGGTTCAAAACCGGTGGGGAATATGTGGTTTGAACCAGTGGGGATTGAGGTTTTTCGCCTAGTGTAGTACCAGTTGTCTAGCCACAAGGGCTATATGATGACTTTGGGGAAGGAGAGAAAATGGAAAGATTAGAGGAACACTTTCTACATTGTCTCCAGCCTTGACACAGTCAGGAATTAAAAGTTTAACAGGTGGAACAGGAACCCACCTTTCCTAACAGGCGGATCTGAGCTGCCGCCTGTTCCTCGTAGAGCCAGAGAAGAGATCCTTGACAAAGGCTTCTTTAAAGTGGATATACAAGCAAACTCCGAGACTGGGGTAAGGGAGTTCATTCCTTAAAATTACATTTCCAAATATAATTGGCTATACGATGGGACATATCTGGTCGCCTATGGCCTTAGCGAAGAGATGCCGAGAGGTAGTTGACCGCATGTTCAAGTGTTTTGTAGGACTTGGTTGATTTTGTGTCAAACTATCTCTTTGATTCATCTTTTGCAGATAAATCCATGGAAAAGCTCTCGGCATTAAAGAAAGCTGCTGCCTAGTACCGCTCGACCATCCTGGGCAAGCGGTCACAGAAGAGTCGCCTACTTTGCAGGCGCCCAAGGTGAACTTCTTTCAACTTTGAACAAGCCTCATTTAGCTTTTCAGTCGCCTACTTCTTACTTATTGTGGTTATTGTTGTAGGAAAACTTAGCAGAGCCTTCCTCCTCCTCACAGTCAGATCCTAAAATTAGGAAACATGCGGCTGGTGATGTGACGACTCCTGGGAGGGCCAGGAAGCACGTGGCCTCAAGGCCAGGGATGAACCCACCTCCAAAATCCCCAGCCGTCCATGAGGGCAGTCGGCTCGAGAAGGAGAAGGAGAAGAAGGCGACTGTTGAAGGTATCAAAGACTTATTTCCTTTCCTTTACCCTTTGAGGGTCAAATTCAATTAGTAGTCGTCTAGCACCTCTGAGAGCAGCCGGTCTATTGGCCGAATTTACACCAAGTACTTACAGAGTATTGATTGTGCAAATGTCTCTCAAAGGCCCGATTTTGGGCAAAAATTTTCGGCCCGAAATCGGGTTGGGCCTCGCCCGACCCGATTTTGTTTTTTTTATGACGGGATGGGAATGCTTTTATCTGTATATTTAGTTGATTTTTTAGGCCCGACCCGAAAATGGCCCAAAAAGCCCGCACGACCCGAACATTTTGGGCGGGTTTGGGCACAAAAAATCCGGCCCGAAGCTTGGCCCAGCCTGGCCTGCCCAATGATCACCTTTAGCTGCCAGCTCTTTCAATTTTCTTTTTGATGCCATCAGATATTAACTTGTATAAGGCTTTAACCAGGCTGTTAGCTTGGGGACGGCCGATTGATGCAAAATAGAGAGAGATCCCTTGGTCTCGCAACCAATTCTTGAGAGCAGGCGTCTCAAATGGAGGACCATTGTCAAAGACCATAGACATGGGTACCCCATACCGAGTGATGACATTTCTCCAGATGAAGGAGATAACATCTTTTGTTTTAATGCCTTTGACTGCCTTCGCCTCTACCCATTTGGTGAAGTAGTCGATAGCAACCAAAATATACCTCCGTCCGCCTATGGCAGACGTATACGGACCCAGAATGTCCATGCTCCATTTGGCGAATGGTACTGGGCTATGGATGACCGTAGATCAGTGGCCGGTCGGTGTATGAGCTTGCCAAACCTTTGACACTTGTCACGTTTTTACACCATCTCCATAGCGTCTGCTTCTAGGGTAGGCCAGAAGTATTTTTGTTGCCTGGCTCTCTTTGCTAGGATCCTGTCGCTTATGTGGGAGGTGCAGAAGCCCGAATGCAAGTCTTCTAAGACCTCTCATCCCCTCTCTAGGGTAACACATTTCAAAAAAGGTTGGAGTTAGCCTTTCTTGAAAAGCTCTCTATTGTGGATTTCAAAATTTGCCGCACGCTTTTTCATTGCGACCACCTCTGGGTAGGTATCCGGCAAGGTGCCGTCTGTTAAGTAAGCCCGGATGTCGTCCATCAAGGTTGAGCCTCGGTCTATTATTCCAATGGGATCTTCAAAACTTCTTTTTTCCATAACTTCCCAAAAGAGAGACCTAGGTGTATCATAAGAGGCGCATGATGCAAGTTCGGAGAGCGCATCCGCCTGATTGTTCTCGGATCTAGGCACCTGACTTAGATGAAATTCTTCAGGTGTCCCAGCCTCTTCTTTGATCGCCTGTAAGTACTTGATCATAGCCGGATGTGTGGCTTCATAGTCACTATGGTATTGGCTAACAATCAATTGCAAATCAGAACAGGCTTCCACTTTCTTTGCCCCAGCTGCCTTACACATGCTGATGCCGGCTAGTAGGGCTTCATATTCTGCCTCATTATTTGAGGCTTGGAACTTGAAACATAGTGCATATTTATACTTGTCTCCTTCAGGATACTGACATATGACGCCTGCACCACAACTATTCAGGGTGGAGCTCCCGTCCACATATACCTTCCAAACCTGTTCAAAGTTTTCAAGATCAGCTAGCCTGGTCATTTCGACAATGAAGTCGACAAACGCCTGTCCCTTCACTGCCTTTCTTGGTTCAAAAGAAATTTCAAGGTTTTGAATTTCAATCGCCCATTTGATCATTCGGCCGGATGATTCCATGGTTTTCATTGGTCGCTTGATTGGTTGGTTTGTGTAAACCACCACCGGTTGCGCCAGGAAGTAAGGTTTTAACTTCTTGACTGCCATGGGGTACCTCAGCTCTACATTCCGTAGAACATGACTGATGAAGTAGACCGGGAGCTGGGTGCTGTCTCTTTTAGTAAGGAGAATAACACTGAGCGCATGGTCAGAGATGGCTAGGTACATGTACAACACTTCTTTTGGCAAAGGACTGACCAGCCTTGGTAAAGAGTGCAAGTGTTCCTTAAACTTTTGGAAGGCCGCCTCTACATCCGCCCCCCATTCAAACATAGTCTTCTTCTTGATTGCTTGGAAGAAGTAGAGGCCCTTGTCGCCTGATCGACTGAGGAATCTCCCCTATGCCGCCAGACAACCTGTTTATTTTTGAACTTCTTTTACAGTGCGGGGTGACTACATGTCTATGACCGCCTGAATTTTTCCGGGTTGGCCTCTATCCCCCTTTGATCTATTAGAAATATGAAGAACTTCCCAGACTCAACTCCAAAAACACACTTATTGGGATTAAGCATGACCTGGTGCCGCCTGAGTGTGGCGAATGTTTCTCGGAGGTCTGTAAGATGGTCCGTTTGTAGTTTGGATTTGAGTATCATATCATCAATATACGCCTCCACATTTCTTCCAATTTGATTAATGAAGACTGTATTAATCATTCTTTGGAAGGTAGCAGGCGCATTCTTCAAACCAAAACCCCTGATCGGTGACGAATGCCGTCTTCTCTTGATCTTTCTTCCATAAGGGTATCTGATGGAAGCCTGAATAGGCGTCCATAAAGCTCATAAAAGCATGGTCGGCTGTAGAGTCGACTAGACTGTCGATCTTTGGAAGGGGATAACTATCCTTCGGACATGCCTGGTTCAGGTTTGTGTTATCTACACACATGCGCCAGGTACCATTCGACTTCTTTACAAGCACAACATTGGCAACCCAATCAGGGAAGTAACACTGCTGAATGAACCTAGCATCTAAAGCTTTTTTACCTCAGCGGCTGCCGCCTGGCTTCTTTCTTCACCATGGTTCCTCTTCTTTTGGCTTATCGGCTTCTTTTTAGGATCCATAACAAGTTTGTGGATGGCTAGATCCGAGTTGATGCCTAGCATCTCGTCCACTTCAAAGGCAGAGATGTCTTTGAACTTTTTCAATAGGTTGTGGTGGTCTGCACCCAATTTAGCAAAAGAAGCCGTCCCCACCTTAACTGTACGTTCCGGACGAGTGTCATCTAGAACAAAATTAATGTGCTCTCTAGCCGGCTGGGGACGGAGTTCATCCGACCGTTCTCTGGTCAGTGATTTCTATTGCTTTTCTTTTTCACGGCCACCAATTGGTCGGCCTTTCGCTTTTTGCCGCATGTCATGAGAGCAGGCGCTGCTTCCTTGATTTTATGAAGGTCTATAGTTTCTCCCACTGGGGTCGGATGCGACCATAGTGGGTTTGACGTCAGAGAGATAGCACTCTCCACCGTCTTTTGGTCTCCCTGTAGGGAGGCGACTGTTCCATCATCCCTTTCAAACTTGAGAAGCATAAGGGTGGGACGACCCAAAATCATTTTATAGGCGGTCAGCTCTGCAACAACTAAGAACCGGACCACCAAGTGGCGTCCCTCTCCCTTTTCTCCCAGCCAAATGGGTAAGTCTATTCGACCTACCGGATGCACAACTCTGCCCCCAAATCCCACTAAGGGATGAGAGAACTTGTGCATGCTCTGAGTTTTGTACTTAAGCTTGGTCAAGCACTTGTGTTTGATGAGATCAGAGGAACTGCCGGTGTCTATGAGGATTTGACCCACCTTTTGGTTGGCCACTTTGCATTCGATGACAATGGAGTTATCATGCGGCCTCCTGACATTGGCACTGCCCAGGGTTGGTTTACAGGGTAACATTGGACCTCGTAATGTAGGACTTTAGCACCAGTTTGTCAGCCAGACGGTCCAACAG